AACTGAAATCTCTCTTATGAGAATTTTATTTTTTTATCAATTATTACAACTGACTTAATTTATACCATTAAGGAAAAAAGCTTATCTATTATGGTTCTAATTCTAAAACTCTGAGGATTAAAATAAAATGACTATAGATCAATTAAAAATTTGAATTTTAGGAGTGCCTGGGTGGCTCAGTGGTTAAAGCCTCTGCCTTCAGCTCAGGTCATGATCTCAGGGTCCTGGGATGGAGCCCCGCATTGGGCTCTCTGCTCAGCGGGGAGCCTGCTTCCCTTCTTTTCTCTCTGCCTACTTGTGATCTGTGTCAAAAAATAAAAATAAAAAAAAAATTGACTTTTAGGGGCTTCTAGGTGGCTCAGTCAGGTAAGCAGCCTGAGATTTGGTTACAACTCAGGTCATGGGGCGCCTGGGTGGCTCAGTGGGTTAAGCCTCTGCCTTCGGCTCAGGTCATGGTCTCAGGGGCCTGGTATCAAGCCCCGCATCAGGCTCTCTGCTCAGCGGGGAGCCTGCTTCCCCCTCTCTCTCTGCCTGCCTCTCTGCCTACTTGTGATCTCTCTCTCTGTCAAATAAATAAATAAAATCTTAAAAACAAAACAAAACAACTCAGGTCATGATCTCGGGGTTGTGAGATCAAGCCCTGTGTGGGCCTCTGTGCTTAGTGGGGAGTCTGCTTAAGATGCTCTTCCTCTCCCTTTCCTTCTGCCCTCTGTGTGCTCTCTCTCTCAAGTAAATAAAATTTTAAAAAACTGACTTTTAGAAAATTTCAAGCTGTCTTATTAAGGATTTGAAGAACAATCTGCATTTAAGTTCTGACAATAGGGCATTAACTATGAGGGGCATAAAGAAATAACTTGAGGAGAAAATTAAATGAAAATGAAACCGAAAAAAATTTTAAGAAATTTATTTACTGGATGTACCAGGAAGACTGAAACTAACAGTCTAGACTAAAAAGTCAGGTGTGACTACTGACAACCTGACATGTATCTGTTTTAATTCTGCATTCAACTTATTCCTGTTTCATACAGAAATCACCTTGAAAACTCAATTTCAGGCAAAAAGATAGTGTCAAAGGGCAAGACTGCATTGAATAGTCTAGGACTGTTACTTATATAGTATGTACACTTAAACTTGAAATCCCTATTACAGCAGAATTTATCGTATGTGTATGTTTATTTCCTATTTTAATTAAGGCCTGTGCTATTAAATTTTGCCTTGTTTTCATTTTCCTAAGAAAACATCAAAAGTAACTTCATAAATAAGAAATTCCCTCTTAATAGTCTTTGAATCATCCATCTTGAACTGAGAAGTTGCTCAGGAAGGGTAAATAATGACTCCAACTCCTTTCTGTAATATTGGCACTAAAACTCAAATTTTATGGCTACCACTTTGTTGACAGCAGAAACAGCCTTGCATAGACAAAAGATCAGATTTTATTAATTTAAATTACTCTGTTGAACACATATATGTCAAACATTTAAGATCTTAAAGACAGGAACAATTGACATTTAATTAAACATTATCTAATTCTCAAAAAGAGCAGTTATTTGACCAATGACTGAAAAACGGTTGTAGCACATTGTAAATTTTCTCTATGTTCATAACCTTAGGACTTACCCTTGCAAGAGCTTAGACTTGATATTAACTAAATTAATATCAAATGGTATTTGCAAGCCTTCTTTACTACCAAATGCTGACAGTACCTAGCACCCTTATAAATTTTTTTGATTGTAAACACTGCTTACCACTAATCGAAGTGCCGAAAGAGCAATCTGTTCTTTTTTTTATCTCTTTTGAAATCTTCCTCCCAGAAACATTCACATTATAAAATTATTCAAGATAATTAAAATTTCCTCATGAGTGCCACAGGTAGACAGCAATTTGTAGAAGAGTAAATTTCAATCACAAATATGTAAAAATAGACTATTCAGCTATATTTAGTAACTCATACCAAAAGCATTACATTTTTATTGAAAATACAACAGAATTTATATCAGTTGCAATATTAATTACTTACTGCCCTACTAACATTCTGATTTTACTTGCAGTACTTTTAGTCAGCCCCACATTTACATTACTTTCTGTAAAGATTTTACTTACTTATTTGTGAGAGAGAACATGGAGGAGGGGGGAAGGGAATTAGAGTCTTTGCTGAACAGGAAAGCTGGGCGGGGTGGGGGTGAGGGTGGCGGTGGGGTTGTACTCCGGGGCCCTTGATCCCAGGACTCTGGGATCATGACTGAGCTGAAGGCAGATGCTTAACTGCCTGAGCCACCTAAGTCTTCCTACATTATTTATAATTCAAGAAATGACAATTTTTTTCTAATATGGTATAATTGCATGCCATTGCTATTCTCTTATTAACTTTGATAACATTTCTAAAAACCTACCTACTCAGTCCAATGTGAGAAATAATTTTTGTCATTTATATTTATATTAGACTAGTTCTCTATAGCAGGAAAATAATCAGTCTCCTAAATTACAAGGTCACTTGTTTCCATGACCTTTTTTAAAATTTTTTTATAGGACTAACAATGACAGCCCTGAATGAATTTTTTCTGCTTTATCTTCTGTTTCTTATTTAAAAAGTCAGTGTCTTAAAATTTCTGCTGTTATAGATTAGAAAGAAGCAATGATCTTAACTGCTGACAGTGCACCTAAAGGTGTTATTTCATTTAGCACCAAATGACATACCTAGTTATTTTAAGTTTATACAACAGAAATATGTAATTTAAGCATATGTACCCCAAACTGCAACGTAAAAAAGCAAAATACTGCTCAAAAAAGAAAAAGTGGGAAATTAAGGAAAGAAATATGATTATTTCTGAATGTTTTATGTTAAGCAATAAATATAAAAATGAACCGAAAATATGTAAAAATGAAACTGAAACACTGCTATTATTTAATTCTGACAGCATTAGATATAATGAAACACCAATATTCTATAAATTCTGGAATATCCACATTCCGCAAGTGGGGAGTAGTTTAAAAAAATACCCCTTTCTTGAAGAAAGAATGGCATTAAACAAACATAAGAGAATGACAGATGAGGGGATATACCCACATAATCATATAGAGAATACTGTCACTATGTACCCATTTTTCTAAGCACTGTTTAATTGGAAAAATCACCATTTTAATAACTAAGATTAAAGAGAACTCCACACATACTACCTAGAACAACCAGAAAACATTGCAATTATAAAATATAGCAAATGACCTATCTTTAAAAGATGCTGGACAATATGCAAGAAAGGCTATTTGCTTAGAAATTTATAAAGGAGATGAAATAAGATTAGGAATGTGACGTTATCTATGCTTATAAATCTGTTAGAAGTTAAATGATACCTATTTCTTTTTGAAAAGTTGACTGTTCTCCAGTATATACAGTTGGGAGTTCAATACCAATCAATAAGATTTCTTTTTCTAAGATTTAAGCTAAAGTAAAACTGAGCTGGCTTCCAAGGGACCAATTAAGGAACTTATGCCTAAACTATATAGGATTCTTTGGGGATTTGTAAATGTTTCCATTCTAGTTTTCCAGAGACAAAAATATAAAAAGGAAAAAATCGGAGAAAGAAGTGACCTGTGGTATTTGGCTCCTACTCTTCCAACTGGCTCATTACTAAAGGTTTTCAATATTTAATTGATTTCTACCCTAAAAACTACTTACTGAGTTCAATGGCTGATCTTCTATGATCATAAGGTCACTCCTCAACACATATACATTATTTACCAAGTCACTAATATAATGGTATTAGATGAGATAGGAGAAGAATCTGATGCACTGGTTTTCACCTCAATGGGCGATCCCTCAACACCAAGGATAGAAAACAGATGCACGTGAGTTCTTTTATTTAGAGATATAGAATTAGCTCGAGGAAGAGATAGAAATGAATCTTTTTGGTAACTGATTACCAGGAAAACAGTTATCTTGTACAGTTACCATGACTTTGATTTTAGAGTTTTTCTAGGGGTATGACATTGATTTCAGCTAACCTGTTAGAATTTTTAAGTTTCTCGGGGCACCTACATAGCTCAGTTGGTGGTTAAGCATCTGCCTTCTGCTCAGGTCATGATCTCAGGGTCCAGGATCAAGCCCCAACAGGGCTCCCTGCTCAGTGGGGAGTCTGCTTCTCTCTCCTTCTTCTCCTTCCTCTGCTCATGCTCACTCTTTCTCACTCTCTAATAAATGAAAGCCTAAAAAAAAAAGAATCTGTTTCTCAAAACTTAAATCAATCAGGGTAAAAACATTTCTTATTCTCAGAAAGGTGTGTACATGCATATATCAAAGGAAGGAAAAGTGACTGCCTTCCTATTTTTCCTACCTTCTGAAGTTTAAAAGTTAAATTTTAGGTATCTCACAAAAAAGTCTGCAGTGCAATCTAGTGAAATGCAAAAATAAATGAAAAAACTATTTCTCAAGTGAATATTTATAATTTATAAAGCCATTAAATAATTGTTAGTAAACCTGATTCATGATGATAATAAAAAAGATAATTAGTCATATATAAGGTCCTTTGAAGGAAAGTGTTTAAGATTGTGATTCTCAGATTCAGAGATGATAGGGCCTAGCTGTAAAATACTTCTCAAAATTGAAACTTACCCAAAGCAATGACATTATTCTTGCTCTAAATTGGGTTAAATCAATACCAAACTTCAATGTGTAGGGAGTAAGGGGAGATCAGAAAGTTGTCAATCTAGGGGTGCCTGGGTGGCGCAGGTGATTAAGTGTCCCACTCTTGATTTCGGCTCAGGTAATGATCTAAGGGTCATTAGGTCGAGTCTTGCATCAGACTGAGCACATGGGGCCTGTTTAAGATTCTCTCTCTCCCTCTGCACTTGCCCCGGACCCGACTTGCTCTAAAAAAAAAAAAAGTTGTCAATCTAGGCTAGTAGGAAAAAAATTCAGAAATAAAGCAAAACCTGTAACCAAACACTCACTTTTTATAAAAATGGTTGAGGTTAATACTAAATATTAATTGAGAGTTAATACTTACAAGGTAAGAATTGCTGGGCTAAGTAGGGGACTGTTTTATTATGGTCTTCATTTTATCAGTATCAAACCTAGGAAAAAAATAAGAGTGAAGACTTTAAAAATTTGATTACATTATGAAAGTTAGAAAATTTTCAACGGGGGTTGATAATCATGATTTTCTGATCCTTATACAGCACAACCACAGATTATAAACACCCAGCAGCATTTGTATATTTTAGTCCAGAGCAGCTTAATTTCTTAATTTCTCTTCTTAATAGCTTCTTAATAGTAATAGCTATTACCTTCTCAAAGTTTAAAAGTCAAATATGTAAATGCAACTAAAACTCATACTTCAATGTCTAACTTGGAGCACAGTGAGCTTCTAGAGGACATCACACAATTGCAGATATTTTAAGATAAATTCAAGATCATACCTCAAGACTGACCAGTCTTTCTCTCAGGCATATACATACACACATGTACACAATTGCAAAATCTAAAAATCCATATATTGCCCAAGAATTCTACTGTGAAACAGTATAAATACAGAGCTTAAATTGGGGTTTCAAATGCTTAAAGATATGTTGGAAAATAATGTTATGATCTATAGCCATAGCAATAGAAAATACTATTATGAAATTACATGAAAAAATGCAGGAGTAGTGATAAGAAAAATTGTTTCCAAGGTTGTTCTTTATTTACAAGAGCAGGAAGTATTAAAAGCCAGTATGCAAAGAAAGGAAACATTACAGCTTATCTTTAAAATTGAAAAAATTTAAAAATATACTAATTTAAACTGGCTAGAATGTTTACTTTCTGTGGGCCATGACTGTAACTTGTAGTTCTTACACCAATTAATGCTTAAGCACTTACTACAAGATATAGAATAGAAAAAACTCAAATCCACAGAAAAATCAAGCCAATACCAAAATGAATCCCCACATTCTACCTGTGGCCTGCTGACTGAATTCTAATATACTACCATGCTTATTTTGTTTTATGTGTCTTTTTTTTAAGAAAAAAAGACAATACATACAGTTGAGTCCTTTCTGTACCATCCCCTGATTCCATTATCCTTCCTAACATAAAATCACAATCTTGAATTTGGAATTTATTTCCTATGCACGCTTTTACACTACTACTATTGTAAATTCAAGTACTTAAAACGTATCATTGTTTTCAAGGTTTATTAAAATGTAGTATCATATACACACATTCTATAAATGTTATTATACAATACATATCCTTTTGTAGTTTGCTTTTGCTGAAGACATTCATTCATGATCATACACAGAGCTCACTTTAATAGCTGTATAATAAACAGTTCATCATATGACTATGCCACAATTCACCATTCTCCTGTTGCTTAATGTTTACAGTGCTTTTGATTTTTTTCTATTAAAAATAAAAGTAATAAGACTTTGCCATACATGTCTCAGTTTATCTAGAACATCTACGAAATGGAATTGTTGGATTCAAGCCTATGTATACTCAATTTTACTAAGATATTGTCAGATGCTCCCACAAGGAGCATATGAAAAGTTCATTTTCTCCAAGATCTCGAAGTACATTTAAGAAAAAGAGCCACTATCTAGAGGAGTATTTTCAAAATTCTTAAGTGATCAAATCCTTCTGTTTTTATCAAGTGTAGGTCTAACATAGGTATACTAAATGTTTTAAACAAAAGAGACTAAAATTTGCCCTAAGGTACCTGCACAAAAATAAAGCTTTCATGATAGAGATTTTCGTCATATGACTGAGGAAATACCAAGACTTCATCTAGAACTACTGTGGTAGAAATGGTAAGATTCAGCATTAGTTACTAAGCTTAGATCCACAATGACCAAAGAGGGTAGGGGGAGCAGAAAATATAAATGGTTAATTATTGTGAAGAATCCTCCCCCATTTCATTTTGGGCAGTGCTCCTCACATGTGGTGCTTCTAAAAAAACTCACTTGGAGCTTGTAAAAAATACAAATTCCTGAGTCCTAGGGCTCCAGAGAATCTGATTCAGCAGGTCTGATAAAATGCTTTGTTCTTCTAAGTTATTTTGGTCCATAGACACTTTAGTAATTCATAGTAAAAACAAGGTGTTTTAATATAAAGGATTTTGTAACTCACTTTTTAATTAAGAGAGGTAACTAATTAAAATGTTATCTGTTAAATTACATCAACATGAATTACATCAAACATCCTGGTAATAGCAAAAAAAAAAGTTATGGTTGAATATGTTTGACACTTCATGTTAGACCAGGTTTTAGGCTCATTTATTATTTCAGGTAAGCACATACTACAACAAAGCTTGTTTTGATAGTATTAGGAGAAAATTCATATTCTGAATTTACTGTTATCGGAAATGGAAAACATTAAGAGTGGGTGTGATTAGTTGTGATTTTAATGAAGGTAACCAAGGAAAAACAATGATTACTTTTTTAAAAGAATGCTACTGCAAATGTCAAAACTTTAAACTGGGACATTAGGTTTATACACTAAAAATGTCATTTGTAGTTTTCCACCTAGAATGCTACAAATAAAATTGGAACTTTAATAGCAATTTAATATTCACTTCCCTGTAACTACGACCTATTGTAATTTTATTCAGGTACAAGATGAGAAAAATGCACAGATATTTAGGTTATGCAAATATGTGCAAATTCAAATTGTAAAAATAAAAAAACCCTATTTTTGTTACAAAGCCCTATTTCCAGAAGATTTAGAATAATCTTTATTTCTAGATATAAAGTTCAGATATACAACATTTTAATAGAAAATGTGAAGACTTACTGAGTTTCCAGCTGTAGCCTGCTTTGTGATTAAACACTAAGCAGTATGGGGTATTCTTTTTTAGTTATAGTGAAATCAACAAGAATTTGGCCTTGTTTAGACTAGGCTACAAAAGAAAGATAATATGGGCCCAGAATATGGCTCCAAAGTGAAAGAAACACTCCTGTGTGGCCACAGTCAACTTTTCTTTCCTTAATATAACACCTAACTTGTGCTATCCAGTAACTAATGATTTTTTTTCAATCTACCAGCTTAAAAGTGAAAAACACGAAACACACCAAACATACTTCCAGAAACAAGAGGATTTTCCATTCAAACAGATGGAATTAACTGATAAAAATTAAATGAACTAAAACCACACAGTACATAATAGAAAATAATGTAAGTCTATGAGCTATAAGCAGAAAACTAAGTTTTCTTTATGCAGCTTGGAAGGAAGTAACTTTTTGTCAAAGAATATATTCATTATACTATATATGGGTTATAATGACAGTTGGGCCCTTCCTACCTGGTTTGTAAAAGCTCCTGCAGGCTCCTTTGGCCACCATTATTGCATATTGATGCTATTCTATGCAACAGCTGACAAGCAGTAGCAATCTCCCAGTTCCTGTTCCCAGCTGTAAGGGACAAGAACAAGGGCTGTGGTGATACTTGTTTATTCATTGTTGTTGCTGCTGCTACTGAAGCAGCAAGCTAAGAAAAGCATATGCAACTGACACAGAAGACAAAAATGACTCTAGTCCAACCTACCTAACAGGTCAGCTTTCATCATTCTATGATAAAATTGCTTAAAGAGAAATTTTTTCTTTAAAAATTAGGACGGGAAGAGAAGAAGAAAAGACAAAATGAATGTTCTGATCAGAAAGTGAACCTATAATGTATCTAAGGAAAAAAATTAATGACACTTGTAATGATCTTCAGCTCCTAGTTTAGATTTAATTCAATTATCAACATTCTCAGAAGAGTTTTAACAATGTTTGGCATGAATTCCTAAATCTGTATTATCTTTCCTATCCACTCTACTGGAAAATAAGTACCTAAACTTTAATCAAGAAATGAAATTATATTTTGCTTATAAAAAGTTCCAGGCTCCCAAGTTCCACATATCTAATCATCACCATATGTTTGACATCAGATCCTATTAACAAAGAAGATTTTAGTCCATAAATATTTTTTAATAAAAACTCCAACCTTTAAAAAAATTCCTACTTGTAATTTATCTACTTTAAATGTGTACTACAAAGCTAAAAACCGAGTATAAGTACATAAGATCAATGATGAGTAACAGAGAAATATTTATTCTGTCAAATTATCTTTAAATTTAAATGTGATGTTAATTATAGATTTATAACTTCAATTTTAAATGCAATCTTTATCCTTTAATACCTTAGGCAATTTTTGATTTTGAAAAATATTTAAGAAGTCAGAAAAATTAGGAATCTATAAATTATTTTTAAAATGCTAGAATTGGCTGATAAGTCTAAATAAGATCTAGTCAAGAAGGCTAGATTTGGGATTTTTTAAAATAGAAGTATCAAATACAGTAATATTGAAAATTCAGATCAAAATATTTTGGGAAAAAGGGGAAAAATATTTTATTTTTATAAAAATTACAAAAACAATTGTTCTGCTTAGCAGCAGTCCAAAACCAAATAATGCTAATAAAAATAAAAGAAATAATTCTGAGGATTACAGGATAACAAAAGTACTAAATATTTTTATTATGAAAGCCAGAGAACGGAAAAAACTGACAGCAAATATCAAAAAAGGATTTTTAAAAATTAAGACATTTATAAAACAGTAATAAATTAATAAACTATTAGCTAGCAGATTAATCAGTCTCAGGAACTACATTTGAAACACACTGCAAGTTTCTCTTCCAAGTGACTCTCATCATGAAACAAGAAAGTAAAACTAAGTCAAATCATATATGTTAATGAAATACCAAGTGTGATTTGGGGTGCTAAGGACTGAAATTCTACTTCAAAATATTTAATGAAAAATTTAAATCATCTCATTAATTAAATAACACAGTTTGAAGATGCTTAGAAAATAAAATTTTGAAAAGAAAAATTAGATTAAGTATATATTTTATTTGTTGGTCAGAAAATAACCCCAAATATACACAAAATTGCTTCAAACAAACATTTAAAAAAATTTTAAGAAAGTTAATTGTCTATTCTTTAATGATTCTCAGCAACATTAGAAAATCTCAATAAAGGAAGCTGTTACAGCTGAGAAATTGCAAATATGTTGTCCTTATAGACTAGAATTATGCATCAATGACAAATAATGAATAATTTCAAGTCCCTTCACATGTAGACATGTTAAATTACTTCTGTTCTAGTTTATTCAAAATATTCTTTTCCCCCAAGAGTAACTATTTCAACAAAACAGGAACACTGACAGTATAGCTATATTTTAGGAACAATTAAGAATTTTTTCTTGAGAAAATGAATGTCATTTAACCCAGAAAGTGCATTTAACCAAAAATATAACTGCTGCACAAAAAAGAAGTCTATCAGTGAAAAAAAAAAAAATAACATAGTAAATCCTTTCCTCCAAATCGTGACATAATAAACTCTACTTATCAAAGCTTAGCTAGATATAATCAGGTTTGCAAATTTAAAACACTCAAAATCCTTAGAAAATGTCCTTTAAGGGGTGTAAAGGCTAGCCAATCACGCATAGCAGTAAAAGCCTTTATTAACTTGTCTCCTAAAATAACATACACTACTAATTAGGTTAAAGTTTCTTACTCTGTAAGAGCTGACCAAATACAAGAAAACTATTAATATTTGCATCAAGTCTCTTAGATGTTAAATTATTTAGGAAGCTAAAAATCTGGAAGTTTATAAGCCAATATATAGCTATAGAGGGATGATTTTATGATGCTAAATATTTGTGTTCAAACAGTAAGTTTTGACAATTTCGAAGATCTCAAATCATAAACACGCTAAATCAGAAAGAACTCTGTGGATTTATGTCTTTATTTAAAATATGAATTCAAAAGCTATGTTTATTCCTCCCTTTAATAGTAGGCTGTGTGTAAAAGATATCTGGATTGAAAGTGATAAACTGTATCTAGTTGTTTTTTTTTTTTTTTCCAGACACTCAGAAACCGTATTTTCCACTTTTCATCTTAATGTTGTCTAATCTGAAAATCACTGGTTAAATCAGGGGGGGGGGAAGTTGTATTCAATTTGATCCTATTCAAACTAAGCTGCTTTTTCATAACATTCTCAAGTCTAAGTTATAAAGACATTCTATACCTTGTATTTATCTCGAACAATATAGTGACACTTTTCAGTATAATGACATCAATACCTGAACGTCACCCTTACATTAAACTGATTTCTATTAAATTTTAACATTTTATGTAACATTAACTGTTAGTAGATTCATATTCCTGGATTATCTAATATCAAATATTAGTTTTTAATATTTTGGTATATATCTCAATGTTCAAACACACATTGGAGAATTTGTTTGTAAAAAACTGAACGTTGTTTAAAGATACAAGCAGTTCTATGACCACAATTACACTTCGTTCTTAAGACTAAATTACATTTTTCTATGAAAATAAATCTTTATCTCCCATATCTAATATATATAAAGTAAATATTTTTAGGTGAAAAAAAATTTAAAAAATTGTAGTATGCTCTATTTTAGAAGACCTCACTTTAGCAAATAGTTTTTTTTTTAAATTATGGTTAGTACTTTATCATGAGACTAATATTTTTAACATGGAAAAATTAATCAATACTTAGTAATATTGTTCAATAAATTCATTTATATTATACTAGATCACTATTTAGCAATCAAAATTTTTATTAGGTAAGTATCTGAAACTTTCAACTAAAACTATAAAAATGAAAATAAATAAACTAGAAAAGTGGCTCTTCTGATAAAGTATTTTGGAGGTAAAAATAAGTTACTGGAAGTTTTGGCAGTTTACATTTTTAGAGTTGCAATTTTTCATATTAATAATTTAAATATTTTATTCAGAGTATTTATGAGTAAGATAGTAGTTTCTGCTTAAGAAAGTGGGTTTTTCAGTTTCAACCAAAATGCCACTTTTGGTTAGGATGGTATTTGGAATACTCTAAATTCTCTTAAAATAGTCTAATCTTATCTAATCTTACAGGCTTTATCTCACTATACCTGCCAAAGAGTTGAGCACCAAATTCTATTTGATTTAAACCTCCCATTTTGAGATGGAAAGTCCTATTTAATTCACACATATATATATAACCTTAAGAAAAAAGAAAAATCACTCTATGTACTTATTTTTAGAATAACTTCAATTGGAATTGAACCTAATAAAACATAGTGAGAATATCCATTATATTTAAAAATGTGGAGTTTTAATAAGCAAGAGAAGTCCACTTGGGCCACTTCACAGATTTCTATTAATAAATCTTTATTGATTTTAGATCACTGAAAAAAGTTCTAGCTTTACTAACTGTCTAGTCCAATTATATTGCAAAGATATAAAATATTACCCTTTTAAAATTCATTAGTATACCTTAATCTCCTATCATGTTCCAATGCATTATGTGAGTGTTCAATCAAAGAAGTTAGGTTGTTCTCCAGAATTGGCTCTCTCCTAAAGGTCAAAACCTGCAATAAAAATGTCATGTATTATAGCATGAAGACACTCAACAGATTTCCGCCTCCTGAAGTTCCAAAACTGATTCCTGAACACTGAGGTAAAATCTTCAAAATGACCCCAATCTTGCCTGTGTTCAAAGAAAACCTAACTTGAAAATAATGTTTTTTAAGTAGAAATAACTTGATTAGAAACACCTGTGATATGCTTTATCATCTGAAGCCTCTTCAAGCAAATCAGATTAATATGTTTCTGCTTTCATTTCTCTTTAGGGCATTCATTTTCAAAGTTGTGCGTGCGTGCGTGCGTGCGTGTAGGTAAGTACTGGAGGACTGTTAAAGGGGACTCCATAAAGAATATATCAGAAATATAGTATGTGCCTCCAAAACTCATAAAATCCATAGTTAAAAAAAACTATTCAAAGGATAGATTTTTAACTACCTTTCTCCCCAAATCATCGAATATTTTAATGACAGAAATTACCATTATTAAGTTTAAGTTTAGTCTTTTGCCTTGCCTGTGTGAACAAATTATACTGATATTTCTGAATATTTTAAGACACTATGGTTCTAACAGAACAAAATTTACAATTAAATTTTTAAGCAAAATATTTATTAGTAAAAGTGGATGGCTACTGGGCCAATGGTTTTTTAATATTTCCAAATAAATGTGGTGTAATCAAATGTATTCAAGAAGCTTCTTCATTTGTTCCACCTGAATCTTAATGATATAGCGGCAATCAACCATCTAAAAATATAAAGTTTAGTTAAATTACCAAAGGCTTGTAACATACTATATGTTAACCATAATGCTCAGAGCTTTCTACTTTTATTTAAGGATAGCTTAGGAAAAGATATGAAAACCCAAAAAAAATTTATTCCTCTGCCTCCAAATAGTTGACTGTTTAATGACAAAAGCTACACAAATGTAACTGACAAATACCAATCCAAATACCATGACACTTTTAAAAATTAAAGTCACTTCCACACAGTCTTCCTCAAAAGACACAAAGTTTTCTGTATTTGAGAAATACAGAAAACCCTGAAAATTAAGGTATCGTAACTTTAAAAATCACAGAAAAATAGTAGAAACCAGTATGTACTCCATGCCAAATGTTAAGTTTTTAAATAGCAGAGAAACAGCAAATACTAGATAATAAAGAACAAAAGACGTTTGAATGTAAGACAAATATTAAACCAAATGTGTGTAAGAAAGAAAGATGTAAAAAAAAACCCTGAAATAGTATAACTCAATGCCAAATCTATTACAAAATATAGTTTATTATTTATACTTAGAACCCAGGGCAAAGTCTTTTCAGTGTAAAGATTTTTTAGTGAAATAAGACTGGAATAAACCAAAGTATATTAAACTTCTCATAATTTGATAAAAAATGTTAAGAATAAAACTCATATATACATAATTTCAATTCCAGTATTTGAAACTTGTCTTTCTAAAAGGAGATCCTAAAAGGAGACAGAGAAGAGGAGAAAATAAGGCAAAAGAAAATCATTTCCCTATACGAAAGCAATATTTATAGGAAGGCTTTACAATTATTTTTTATGCAAACAGACAAATATACAAACATGTATTAGTAATGTGATATTCTAAAATTGATGTTACTCTTATAATATTAAGACAATCACAACTTTAAAGTTCTAATACTGTCACTTGTAAAAATTTAAAGCAAAAATGGCTTAATCTAATTTTTGACATTTATTTGAAAGAAAGTGTTGGTTATTACTGATTTCCTTTGGTCTTAAAGAGATTTGGGGCTACCAAATTTCAGCAAGTCATAGTCTGAGCCTAATAACATGCCAGAATTAGTTGCCTGGCCAGTGTTTCTAAGTTTGCTGAGTAAAAATTAATAATAAGAAATAAAACTACATGTAAATGAATAGTATGACAATTCGAAGAAGTGTTTTCTAGTTGTAAGACCAAATAACCTGTTTCTTCCAAAAAAGGGTTAAAAAAAAAAAATCAGTGTGGGAATTACTAAGCTTCACTAAACAAAAGGAAAAAAAAGGCAAGAGCAAATTTAAGGCCATTAATTTTTTGAAATGAGATAAATTTTTATAGAATAAAATTTCAAAATTGTGTGTCTGATTCTTTTTAATTGGAGAAAACTTACGTTATCATGTAGAAGAGATATCTAATACAGTCTCTGGGCATTTATTTTTTCTTTTAGTAAACCAAATTAGCTGACCAATATCAGTATTTCTGGATGAAGTACACTGTGACATTTTGAATAGTAACTGCATACCAATAAACAGAAATGTATATTTAGACACGTTTTCACAAAACAAAAACCAGACAAAAATGTAGTACACAAAGCATGATGAAACAGGGAATCCAGAATACGAAAGCTATTTTGAAATTTTCATCCTTAGTTCCAGTTCTTGATAACGTTAAAAGTGATATTAATTTGATCAGAAAAAAATGTGGTGCTACATGTAAACACCTGAGGCTGCACTTTGTAAATGTACAACTAAGACAAATTAACAGCATTAAAACAAAGCCTAAAATTGCACTTTTATTTGGAGTTTTAAAAATACTATGAAAGGCAAACAAATGAAAATCAGTGCTACCCGGAAGACAAACACCTTACCTCCTCTAGTTCCCTCTCCCTCACATTATATAAACTTAGCTTTTAAAAAGAGAAGAGCTACTGTAGCAACACCTTTCCCCATCATTATTTCCCAGTGATAATATATGACTTTTCTAGTCCTCACGATAGAAAATAAATTAGAATTATCAATTTCCATAGAGTAATATGTATAATACACATAACAATAAAAAAATACAACTGTTGGCTGTCATACCTACATGCCCACAAATCTAAAAACCCAAATATTCCTCTTATCTAGCATCACAAGGGAAAATATCTTGAAAGCTGTGGATTTTATTTAGGTGCTAGTGCATTCTCAAGCTTTAAGTGTAGTATTTTAAATAAAGGAATCCTTCACTTCTTTTAAAAATGGCTTATTAAACAAAACAATTCTTCACCATCACCCCTCAAAACAAAAAAATCCCATAAACCAAAGCACTAAAAAGTAGGGTTAAATTTAACCAGGCTGGTGGAATTTAAAGTCTTTCCCCACCCCACCCTCAGAACTCTGCAAGTCACATAATAATTTGAATGAAAATTAAAACACAAAACCCCAAATAAAAATAAAAAAGCAAAACCTGCTAGATCTGGTATCATAGATAAAATTACATTTACATTAGAAATGGGGTCTCCTACAACTCCATTAAGTCAAGTTTTATAGAAAGGATAATTAGCACCTTTCATGAAATTTTCATGAGATGATTCAAAATAAACAGCTTTGAAAAAAGGTAATGAACAAAGATTCTGTAATTGCAATTCCTGTTATAAAGGCAATACACAATAGTATGATTTACAAACTCAGCTATTCCACTCAATATAAATTACATTTATAGCCCTACAGAGATTTATAAAAGTCGTGGGATCTTTTCATTTGAGTATTTTCTAACAATGCATATTTGACCTAATGTGAAACCATAAACTGTAAGTTTCAAAATTTCAACCGCTATTCATAAAAGAACATTGATTTCTATTAAATTCAAAAAAATCTTTAAAAAAGCATCTGCAGCTATTTTGTTTATCACGGAGTTTACCGATTTTCTTTGAAAACCACACCCGCCTTTTATCAAGATGCAATTAAACGGAATGACAAGCTTGGTAATAAATAGAAATATATTGACGGCTGTCTCAAGCAACATGAAACAAAAATCAACTGAAAACCAACCAAGTAAGACACAACACACCCACACTGTTGTATGCAATATATTTCTTCACAGTGAATTTATCAAAGGAATGAAATCATACACGGGCACCTGTGCATACTTACCTGTTGTACTGTTTAAATTATGCAAGATAAATTTCTTATAAATAAAGTTTTAAGTCCACAGCAATGGCTGAATTAGCAAAATCCATGTATTTTAAGTTAGATGTGAAAAAAATTTAAATACATCCAATTTTTATGCAGAATGTGGAGAAGCTCATTCCTAAGAAAATTAAAGTTTCTTTTCATCAAAATAAAAGAAACTATTCTCCAGTAATCTCCATCGAATATGTAGCTTAAGGTGAAAAATTTCTTTTTTTGAAATAAAAAACCTAGATCGTACAGTCAGTTTTTAACCAAAAAAGAACGGGGGCAAATACGTTAAAGTCTTGCAATTTCAGCCAGCAGAATTAAAATTTTTAAGAAAACTGACTCCTCAGTTTTACTTTTTAATATACATTTCAGAACCATTCGAAAGTCCTTTATGGAAGAAAAAAATATTAAACTCCAGCTCAACCCCCCCCCCCAACTCCCCGTCTTAACGTTTCCTATTTCCGTGTTCTCTAAAAGTATAATTTTTCGGAAAGTCGAGAATTGTAATCTAGTGTTCAACATTCAAACCCCCCAGTCCCGCTCTCTTCCAGCCAATCAGGGGGGTGACAAGCCCGGTGGTGTTTGGGGAACTCCGTTAGATACATTTTGAAAAACATCACATTGCGCTCCCTATTCTCCTCGGGGATAGATTCTAAATGAGGGCGGGTCCTCTAGTCTTAATAGAAATAAGAAATCGATCAATCGTTACATCAATTCCAGGAGGAAAAACACTTTAGGCAGGTGGTCCTAAAGAATGTAAGATTGCGGGTTCCCAGAAAGCGTTATTCCTCTCTGCGAACAATTGAACTGCTGCTGCAAAACCCATCTCCTGCATATTCGCAACCCAGAGCCGCGCGCCCCACACGCAAAACACCACACCAGCAAAGGGTTAATCAGTGGTGCCTTCAGCGCAGAAAAAGACTCAAAACCTAATATATCTTTAATGAGGAATTTTTACAAAGGCCATTATTTATAAAGTACTACTTAAAGTTAAAGCCGTCACCGGCCCAAATCATTCAAGAGTTGTCGACTAAGAATTGGTAGAAACTACGAGGATAAAAAAACCACTAAAGGGAAAGACAAATAACAGCCCTCTTCCCTCCGCCTCAGAGTCAAGAGAGTTCCCGAGAAAAGGTGGGGATTGCAAAATTACCGTTAAGTTGTCCGGGCTAAGACTTTTCTGGAGGAAAACATCAATAGTTTCACAGATTGCTTTTATCCTTGCGACATGTTTCAAAGACTGGAGAAGGAAAAAGTCTTCTAAGAAAAGTGCAACTGGGTGAAGGAAATTGCAAGCTCGAAGCCCTGTCTCCCCCCGCCCCCGAAAAAACCAACACCGTGAGAGCAAATGACAAAAATCCCGAGCAAAAAGCGAAAGCCCAGCATCTTTCCTAGGAGCCCGCTAAAACCTCAAAAGTCTGCCTCCGCCCTATCTTACCCAAATTGGAAAAGCCAGACATCGTCAGGGTTACCCCTGTCCGGACCCAGGAGCGCGGAGCCGGAGGGCTACGCTGTGAAACTCAACATTCCTAGGGCACCCCACGCTTTAGCGTCAAGCACAATATACAGTGCTGGGTCCCGCAGAAGGTAGGTCCACACGACGGACTGGAGGCACCCGCCACTCCGGGTTCTTAATTTTCTGCCGACCTTAAGTTTCATGTCACGAGAACGCGGCAGTCAGCGCGGGCCGGGAAAACTGCGATAAAAGACGGCTCGGTTCGGCAAATGGGGGAGGGGACGCTGGTCCCCCTTCTCCTGTCAAGGGGCCGCGGCCTGCGGAGCCCCGTCGCGCCCCGGGCCCGGCCCCGGGCGGGGGGTCCGGCTGACAGATCCGCTGGGCGGCGGCTGCTCCGCTGCAGCCCGTCCGCGTCCCGCTCAAACTGCAACTCCCCTCCCCCCACGCCCCCATCTCTCCGCGCTCCCGCCACATTCCGCCCGCCGCCGCCCACTCCCAGACACCCAATTACCCCCAACCCATCTCCTCGCATTTTTAGCAATTAAAATGAGGGCGGACCCAGTGCCCACTCCCTGCACCCCCCAACGCCTGACGGTCCCACCACTGCCACCTCCCAGGTCCCGCTATTACTTCTTCAGGTTCTTACCGTCTGCGGCAACCCTGGCGAAGCCCCACGGACTGCCCTTTGGTCGAAGTAATTTTTGGCGATTTTTTTAGTGATTTTTCGGCGGAGTCCTAGTAGCGCTATAATCTCGGACAGGTTATCCCGTCTCTCCCGCTAGATTGATGAGATCAGGCATCACTCGAAAATGGCGCCGAAAGCGCTGAGGCTCCTCATTCAAATTCGTTAGAGCCAACCCCGCCGCCCCAGGGCATGCCGGGAACGCGGGCTGCCTACACAGCTGTCAATACCGCCTCCAAACCCTGCTCCGGCTTTCCCTACACTTCTGCTCATGCGCAAACTCCTACCCCAATATCCGCGCCTTGAACATGCGCAGAATCGTCGCTGTTCGCCGCTCTCACTTCTTTTCCTCAGTCTCACTCCTCCCGCCTCCTTTCTTGCGCGTGCGTGCAACTCCTTTGCTCAGCCGCGGACGTGGAGGAACCGTGCGGTTGTGGGCCGGAGGTCCATAGATGACATGTCAGTCGGTAGGTATTTATTCTACTGTTCGAGGAAAACAAATAAGGGTGCAGCTTAGACGAAAAGAAACACGTTTTATTGCCAGTGTCTAAACTTCTAAACAACGGAATTGTGTATGGATACACGTGTACTTAAAACAGCCCGTTGTGTGTGTAGACACTTGCTGTATGTCAACGCTTTACGGGAGTTATTGCACCTAAGCCTCAGAACAACTTTATGAGGTAGGTACAGTTATTATTATCGGTTTGCAGACCAGGAAAGCAAGGCTCAGAGACTTCTAAGTAATTTGCCTTAGGAGACACAGGCAGCAAGCACGTGGATGAGTCCCCATCTGTCAGATTCTGGAACTTGGGCCACTTTGTATCCCGCTGTGCCATGCAACCTGAGCTCACACAGGCGTGGTTTCCCCTGCTCAACAACTGCGTGTGTGTGTGTGTGTGTGTGTGTGTTTGAGAGAGAGAGATGTGTGCGGTGTATGCATGCGTGCGCGCGCGTCCGGCGTTCAGGATTGTTTAAGTGTGTTGGAGCTCTACTTCCCGGTTCTAGGGTGCCTGTTGAGTCGGTGCTTTCATCCAGTCCAGTTTCTCTTACAGCCTCACTTGTTCTTAAACGTTTTGCTCTGTTTTGGGTAAATGGGCAGTCTTTGGCCATCACTTTGTGTGTGTGAGTGTGTTTGTGTGTATTTTAAGGGTGGTAAAAGGAACTGAAACTATCAAAGACGGGGTTCCACTGTGCGACACATTAATAAAATAATAGTAGATAGAGATCACGTACTGAATGTACTCTGGCTGGGCACGGTAGTAAATAAGTGCTTTACGGACTGATCCTGTTTGCTGCTCACAACAACCCCATTAAGAAGGTATTATCGTCATTTTACACATGAGGACACCCGAGACTCAGATTAAGAAATTTGGCCCTAAATCTTATAACTAGTAAGTAGAAGCACAAGACCTAGACAAATCTGTGCTCACCTTCAAAAACTGGACGCTAAGACAGGACAATAAATGATAATAAAACAGGCAGTATTTTAATACCTTCCTTAAAAACCTCTTTGAATCATTCATATGCGTGGGAGCGTTATCCTACCCGCCACCAGGCTAGTTAAGATGAAAATGAAAACAATACCACTGCCATTGATTCTAAATCATGACATTTTAAGTTTATTTTTGGTTACTTTTTTCCTGATCCCAAGTTAAAATACATTTTCTAAAGAATCCAACAATTTGAAATCTGGGGTCTTGCTACATTTTTTCCCGGTTTTTTTTGCAAAACTTGTGATGAACCTTAACTGTAGGAGTATATAAAAACATATTATGAGGGTTAAAGAAGACTATGGATATTCAAAGTGTCTGATGTACTAAGTAAGGAAATGGGAGAAGGCTAGCATAATTTGCATTACTGAAGTAGAATTAGAAAAGGACTTTAGTAATTTGAGATCATCAAGAAGTAACATTGCAGAGTAGTGTTTGTCTTACATCTCTATAGTACTTTTGTGCATTGGTTAGGTGTGTGGACTCTGGAACCAAACTGCCTGGATTGGGAACTCAGCTCTCTTACTAACTAGCTTTGTGACCCTCTGTGAGTTACTTTTTCTCACTTTGATCTTTTGAAAAGGAGTAACCATCTCATGAGGTTGTTGTAAGGAAGTTAATGAGCTAATATATAGTAAAGGCATTTGAACAGTGTTTGGTGTATTGGTAAATGTTATTGTGCACCATTAACACTGATCTTTTAAAATAGCTTCTTGTGTTTTAAAAAGTTTTAAGTTAGTGCCATTAGGAGTTAAGCTGTTGTGTTCAAAAGTCCCTTAAAGGGGCGCCTGGGTGGCTCAGTCCTTAAGCGTCTGCCTTTGCCTTGGTCCTGGGATGAAGCCCCACATCAGACTCCCTGCTCAGCAGGAAGCCTGCTTCTCCCTCTCCCACTCCCCCTACCTGTGTTCCCTTTCTTGCTGGGCCTCTCTCTGTTAAATAAGTAAATAAAATCTTTCTTTAAAAAAACAAAAACAAAGAACAAAAGTCCCTTAAAATGACAAATCAGCCTGACAAATTATTTTTGCCAAATATGAGTAATGGTTTCTGCCAGATGAGTAAGAATGTTAATTTGTCTTATCATTTCATAAGAGTATCATACGGAAATGGAATAGTTTTGCTTTTTCTAATTATTAAAATTAAGGGGGGAGGGGAAAATCAGGCCAGTCTAAAATATGAAGTAAAATATAAAGTAAAAACTATCCAAATTTCTATCATCCAGACATAAATACATATTCTTTGTTCCTTAAAAACGTATCTGTGGTGAGAATTGGCTAGAGGTAGTCTGGAATAAGTAGTATATTTGAGGAACTTATTTGCACGATTGTACTTGAATTAAATGAACTGGTAAATTTTTGATCTAGCCCCCTTTTAGATATATTCTGTCAGAAGAATTCTAAAGTGATGATGTTGTTGGTAAGTAACATTTACTGAGTTCCTACTATGTGTCAGCTAAGCATGTATATGCATTTCCCCTTGAATTAACCTCATAAGAACACTTGAGGCTGGTGTATTCATCTCCATTTTACAGACTAAAGTTTATATGGTGGTTACTTTTAGAAGATTTAAGCCGTGTTTGGTTTAAAATACTATTCAACAAACCAAAAACCCTTCATAAATCTTCTCAATTCACCAAAATGGGAGAAAACAAAATCAAGTAACATGGTTGCCATGTCTGAACCAAAAGCCCAGTTGGAAAAATGTTTTGAAAACCCAGTTTATATTTGACCACAAGGGGGTGCAAATAATTGAGCTGAATTTTAAAGGGAAAAAAAGTGCTTTTTACTTCAAATTATCAAATTCATAGGTAAAAACTAGTAAGAATACCTCCTCCAAACTTTAATACTCCACATATTTATGTACTTAATGAATAAGTCAGTTATTTAGGTACTCAATTAGGGCAGAAGTTTTCAGCTTTCTTTCATCTTCAACATGGTGAAGAGTTCATCAGCCCTACCCCCACTCCTTACCCCATTTGTGTCTCTGCATACTCTACTTGTCATAACGACAGAACTGAAGTTATAATTTAAAATCTGAGGTTTTACCTGGAGACTGGAATGCAATCACCAGCTAATGAATGGTAAATATGGGTAGTGTGGAGAACAGAGGTTTTGTAATTTCAATGCTTTCTTGCCTTCCTGCCGTTTCTAATGAGTAAGCTACAACTGATGAAATGTTGGCTTCAACATATTAACTTATTTAGATAAAACTGTGAAAGCTATAGGTCTGTTCATCTTTTACAAAAGAATGAAGACTCTTGAAGAAAACATTTTGAACAGTAACTTGAAAACTTAGTATACATGGGAGAATGTTTTAAAGACAGTTTGTTTGGGCGCCTGGGTGGCTCAGGTGGTTAAACCTCTGCCTTTGACTTGGGTCACGATCCCAGGGTCTGGGATTGAGCCCCACATCGGTCAGGCTCCCTGCTAGCCCCCCCCCCCCCACCGCCTGCCTCTCTGCCTACTTGTGCTCTCTCTCTTTGTCAAATAAATAAATAAAATCTTAAAAAAAAAAAAAAGACAGTTTGCTTTGATGGGTTTTAAAGTAACTTTTATTTTCTTATTGGTTTTGTTTCTCCAAGGTGGACTTAATTCTTAAAAAACCTTTTGACTTAGAAATAATTTTAAATTGGCTTGGTTGGTTAAGAGTCCCATTCATGATCTCATGGATCCTGGGATCCAATGGGGAGTCTGCTTGAGATTCTCTCCCTTTGCCCCTCTCTCCACACTTGCACATGCTCTCTCTCTCTCTCAAATAAATAAAAAAGGAAATAACTTAAAGTTTATAATGCAAAAATTAATATAATGCAAAAAAAATGCAAAAATTAAGATAGTTCAAAGAACTTCCTTATCATTTGCTTGCTCTTATGTAAAGTCCCTCTCTTACCACATACATGTATACTTCCGTACATTTTTTTCTGAACCATTTGAGGTTAAGTTACATACATTTTGGCCTGTCACCCTTGAATACTTAAGAGTATTTCCTACCAATTAGGGCTAGGGTTAGGGTTAAATTTACATTGAAATAATACTTCAGTCTACCACTATATTCCAGTTTTGTAGCTTGATCCTTACTAGCACTCCCCCTCCAGTATAGGAGTCAGTCTGGGCTCAGGGAATACATTTAGATGTCATGACTCTTTAGCTTCCTTTATTTTGGCACATTTCCAGCCTTTATCTTTTATGACCTTGACCTTTTTAAAGAATATAGCTTTTTACTCCATTGGACTTTTTCTTTTTTTTTTTTTTTTTAAGATTTATTTATTTGGGAGAGCGGGGGCAGTGCCTGAGTGGGAGGAAGGGCAGAGGGAGAGGAAAAGAAGCAGACTCCCACTGAGCATGGAGCCCAAGGCTGATGATCTTATAACCCTGAGACCATGACCTGAGCTGGATTAACTGTAGGAGCCACCTGGGCACGCCTCCACCACTCTTTTTAATAAAACGTTCCTTATTTTGTTTTTGTCTGATGTTTCCTCATGATTAAAGTGGGGTTATATATACTCTCAACTGGAGTATTGCACAGGTGATATTGTGTCCTGTGTAGTGTATCACTTCCGGAAGCACATGATCCATCTGTCCCTCCTTGGTGATACTACTTTGATCACCTGATCCATATGTGGCCCAAATTTTCCATTGTATAGTTACTGTTTTGTTTTGTTTTTTCTTCCTGGTATTAAAAAAAACAAATTGTGGGGAAAGATTTGAAGATACATCCTGCTCATCATCAAAATCCCCGTTTAAATTTAGCATGATTATTGCTGATATAATTTTGCCATAATGATTGCAAAATGATTCAACAAATCTAATACTCTCTCCACATCTACCAAGTAGTCCACATTCCACTGTGAACAAAGAAC